TCTCCATCTATAATGGTTTGCAGAGCAGCCTGAAAAATTTCTGCATTATAATTTTTTTGTCGCTTTGGTTTATAATTACGTACCATCTATACATTTTAACATGAAAAATAATGTTATTAAAATCTACCATAAGTAATAATACATTCTTAGTTTTTTTTATATTGGTATATATATAAATAAATATATATATACAATATGTATATACATATATATATATATATATATATATATATATATATATATATATATATATATATATATATATATATATATATATATATATATATATATATACAATATGTATATACATATATATATATATATATATATATATATATATATATATATATATATATATTCACACAAAAATATATATATATATATATATATAAATGCTTTATATTTTCCAATGAATGATACATTTGTTTATAATAAATACTACAAAAAATACTTATAACAGATATTTTATACTGTACACACATTTTATACTATATACTTACTATTTACTTTTTACAATATATAATAGTTATACTAAATAGTATAATATTATATATATTTTTTAAAATAGAATAAGATCTTTGCTATATAATATATAATAAAAGTCTTATTTTAATGTAAAATTAGTAAATAATATTAACTATTCTAATAATATTTATTGAATTTCAATAATACTTTAACAATATTTAATACTTATACATATTTTAAATATGTATAAAAATAGGCAGTGGATAGCCTAAAAATATATAACATATATGTTTTATATACTTATTATTTACTGTATATATATTTCAGACTATACATTATAATAAGTTTGTTTACATGTTTCACATCAAAGTCGTGTTTATAATTAAAACTTCAAAAAGTTTTAAAAGCTAACTGTAAATTAATATATTCTGAAGAGCCTTTCTCTTATAAATGTCTAAAGCTTTGGAGCGCATTTTGATCACAATTTGTTTTTCTTTCAAACGGCGCTCGGTAGTTTAAAAATTTGCATGATGAAACAACCTAATTTATTTTTCGTATTAACTTTTCTTCATCGACGAAGTTGCCCCTCATTTGAGCATGTGCTAACAATCATTACGTGACGATTCCAAAGGCAAAAACATAGTAACTTAAATTATTATTTAAAAACTACTGACATCAATCAATCAAAAAATATATACTTTGTGGTCAAAACATTGCGTATTTTGATAATTTTTTGACGATAGGCAAAAAAATATTTTTTCAACTTCAATGTTTATTTGCAATATTTAAGCAGAAAAATATTTTTTCAACTTCAATGTTTATTTGCAATATTTAAAGAATAATCGGAGGTAAATATATAAAACATTTATTTAGTAATATTCTACAAATATCAGTTGAAAAAGTTTCGAAAAAACCTAGTTAATAGATTTCTTAGTTTTTATGCATTATTATTTTAAAGCTGAGTCGCATAAGTGACGGATTCGCTCCGTGACGAATTCACCCCGCCTTACCCTATAATATATATATATATATATATATATATATATATATATATATATATATATATATATATATATATATATATATATATATATATATATATATATATATATATATATATATATATATATATATATATATATATATATATATATATATATATATATATATATATATATATATATATATATATATATATATATATATATATATATATATATATATATATATATTAGACGCTTTTTATTTTGTCGTAAGTTTTTGAGCTATTTTTTTTCTTATTTTATTTTTTTCTCGTAAAATTTTTTTTCCTTCTTACTATTTTTCTTCTTCTAAATTCACATTAATATTCATTACCTTATACTATATTATAAATTATAATATAGTAATTTATAATATATTATATCGAATAAAGTCAATCGCTTCGAACTAACTATATAGTAACTAAATATATAGTGTTTTTATTTTTATTTCATTTTTATTGCTCTATATTTACATATAAATATATGACTATATTATAAATAAACTTTATTATTCGAAGATTTGATTTGCGCTTATATTATTAAAGTAACAATTTTTTAACTTGTTTCTTGAAAACCTATTTTAATTATTTCATTTTTATTTTATTTTAAAACTTTCTAGGTAGTTTTTTTTTTTATAGTTGCGTTGCACCTGATTCTTAATCTGTTTGTTGTTTTCGGATTAATTTTTGAACATAAAAATAATTTGTGTGTGTGTGTGTGATTGTGACAAACATTAATAATATATATAATTATATATACGGAAAAACTGTTGTTATTTATAAATACATATAAGTATTATTTATATATATACAAAAATTATATATAAAATATCTACCTAAAATACCTTTCAACTATCCACCAACTTAATAATCAAATTTGTTATCCAACCACAACACTTATCCGAAGCATAAACTACAAATCCAATATTCAGTCATCTCGAAAAAATCAATACAACTTGCAAATTCAACTTACTAACTGTCAACCACCGGCAGTTTATCCTTCCGTTTCTCAACCAATCCTAAAATCTTTTGCTTCGCAACTTACCAAACCTGGATCAGCCACAAACAATGCCATTTTAAATGCCGTGAACATAAACGCCAAGCTTCAACAGTCAAAAGCTAAGAGAGCCATAATCACCGGAATTCCCAACGCAGCCAATACCAATGCTTCCGTCGTCGATCAATCGGTAAAGGATATATTACAATACGTACATTACTCTGCTTCCTTCAAAGTTGTAGGACGCATTCCTGCCGCTATTTCTAACAAAAATAACAAATCGCCGCCAAACACTAACATATCTACTTCTTCTACTGTCACTGCCCCCACTCAACCAGCTCCACCGTCTCTTATCATCGAATTCGCAACCAATGAAACTCGCAACGGTCTTCTAGCAATCGCAAAAAACCTTGCCACCAATTAATCATACAAAAGTGTCTTCATACGGCCAGACAGAACTCCTTCAGAGCAAGATCTTTTTAACAAGTTGAACAACGAAAAGTTTAAGCTCAACAATGGCCTTAAAGCAAACGGTAAACTTGATCAGCCCTTTCGTTTCGACGTCATATGGCACGACGACTCGACCAATACCACCGGCGCTGAAACTAGTTTTGGCACTAAATTTGCCGATATCATTTTTGACCTACATCTACACCAGGAAGCGGATTCACCAAACTTTTGTAACTCTTGTGTAGCTCAACTAAGGTTACGGAAATCGTACGTTCAACGTTGTTTTCGTAACTATTTGGTATTCACCAATTTTTCGCAGCATTTCCGTAAAGTTAGGGTTGCGCATAAGTTGCGCTGAAATTACGCTAAAACTTACACAAAAATACAACCAAGTTAATTTTTTTTTTAAATAAACCAAGTTTAACAATTATTTTTAAAGCATGGCTTCATCCAACTCCTCTTGGTTATCATTCCATTTTACCAGGTGAAAATAATGTTGAATGAAAAACTTGTAAAATTGGTGGATTATACGACTGCAGCTTGGCTGACTTACATTAGAAGTGTCACCTATAATCACCATAAAGTAAACCATTATAAAAAAAAAGCTTTTACAGAAGTAAACTTTAAGTTTATATGCACCACCATTAACATTTATTTATAAAAGTTGACAATAAAGAATCATAAAAGTTAATATTTTTTGGTATTGCTAATATTATATGCATTGACAAATAACACTTAATGATAATACTTAATGAAACAAAAAAAATTAACTCTGCATCTACTTAAGAATTAGTGTATACCATTTTTAATATTTAACAAAGGAACAACTAAAAACTTTATTAATTGCTAGATATATATAGATACAATGTTGAAATATTTCACTTTACAACTTATTAATACATACTATATTAATGTTACTATATGCTAATAATAACTTTTTTAAGAAACAGGTTTAAAAAGAAGTGTTGTTGGAAAGTTCTTGAAATATTATTAAATATGTTTTTAAATATTATAAAAATGTTGTTCACAAATAATATTGCAATGTAATAAAAACAATAATAATGAAAATGAAATATCAAGTCAACTAATTTACTCTGATATCACATGACTTTACAATTAAAAGGATTATTTTTAATACATTTAGTTGCTTTTTAACAGTAAAATTTAAATAGATATAACTGAAAATTGTGATAGAGTAAACAATAATCGTATTCTATATCTATGACATAGAAATCAACAAAAATATCCATGCATTATAATAATATAATATCTTAATAATATATGAATTATGACACAAAAGCTATATATGCATTTTGATAATATACACCATTTTTAATTTTTAGCGATTTTAACGTTAAGGCAGCTAAGGTTGTGTTTAGATCATATCCCATTCGGAACGATTATTTTTATTTGCGTATTTTGCCGAACAACATTACGGAGTAATATTAATAACAACGCAACACACGTGCTTTGTTCGATATATATATATATATATATATATATTTATTACTAAAATTGCTTTATTACGTGGTCCTTATTTCGTTAACTTCATTGCTTTTACAGTGGATTACTCTATTAAATCATGGATGTAATAGTTCTTAAAGGTTAGTGTTTCTTTCATATACATAATTCCTAATAATATAATAACAATAGCTATTTATATTAGGTACGCGCACTGAAATTTTTAAATTGATCACATAGTAGAATGTTATATATCATTAGAAAGGCCTTTAATACAGTATTTTAAAGGTGAAAAAATTATTAAAAACGAACAATTTTAAAAAAAGTTATAACATTTTTAGTACCAAATTTAAGATATATGGAATTGTTGAAGAAACTGTGGTCAAAATAATTATTTTTTTCACTTAAATTGTTATAACTTTGTCAATTTTTATCCAAATACCTATATCTTGGTATCAAAAGATAGGTGCACTAATGGGCTACAAGTTCATATAGGTGCCTGGATATAGGGTGTATTTTGGGAGCCAGAGAGGGTAATGAAACACTATATAACCCTTAAGAAAATACAAGTTTTTGTCAGAAACAAGCACTTTTTTAATGTAATTGTTATATTTTATATACAAAATATTGCCATAACTTGATTCCAGAACACTGCCAAACAAAATAAGATGATCTTAGAGCTGGCCAAAGATGTGGTTGTGATGTTATAACACCCTAATACAATAATCATACATTCTCAGTAGCGGATCTACAGTACTGCAGATTAGGCGGCCGCCTAAAGAGAAATATTATATTATAAATAAGGTGTATCTTACTTTACATTTTTTTAAAGTCAAAATTTCTTTAGGATTTTTTTCACGGTTTCGGATTTGAAACCGCAAAAATAAGCGAGAGTGTTAAATATAATGATTGGCGAAAAGGCTTTTTTATGTATTATGCGAAAATTTTTTTGCCTAATCTAAGGCAATCTGGAAAATCGGAAATTTAGCCCAATTTAGTTAAAATTTAGCCGATTGGTTTTTATGCCTAAGACCGCCTGATCTGAGGCGATCTGATCAGGAAATTAAGAAAACTAGACATATTTGCCTAAAACTTGGCCGATTGGGTTAAGTTTAGGCATAAAAAGTCTGAAAATTAAAAAAATTTAAACAATTTGCTTGAAATTTGGCCGGTTGGGATATAGTTTACGCATAAAATGTCTGGAAAATAATACACAGCATTTCATTTTTTTTCTAATTTAAGATGTCTAAGATTTTTGATAACGTGCGAATTGCATTAGAGAGAAGCGATAAAGTTACATTCGAAAAGATTAACAAGAAGTATTCACTCCAAGTTGATTCTTTATGTTTTTTGCATCCATTAATTAATCAAGTTCATCTTAAGCGAAATATTTGCGCTGAAGCCTACTTAAACAAAAATGCAAAATCGGATAAATTAGTACCTATTCTGTAAGTTACTATTTGTTTATACTGCTTTATTTACATTAAGTTATTTAATCAGAGGTTTTCATCAGTATCAAATTATTCATATTTTGCTAGCAAATCACAAGTTAATCTTACAGATTAACTTGTAAAATAATGTTTCAGTGCGAACTATATATCAAATGCAAAAACTAGTTAGTGGTTTTAGCTATGGATTTAATTACAAAAATTGTGAAGTTAAACAACAAGGCTTTATACACCCATTGTTTTAGTCATCGATTAAATCTAGCAGTGTGTAATTCTTGCAAAGTTCAACTTCTCTGTAATGCAATGAACCATGTAAAAGAGGTTTTCTATTATTTTAATCTTTCTATCAAAAGAAGTTCTGTCTTGGAGACAATGATTTTAGAACACTATCCTGATAAAAAGGGAAAAAAACTTAAAGATATAGTTGAACTAGGTGGCTTGAAAGAATAGATGGTTTGGATACATTTCAGCAGTTGTATATTCCAATAGTTTATTCTCTTGAAGCTATAAGCAATGGCATAAATAAGTTTGGGGCAGACTCCCAAAGAGCTACATCTTTATTGAAATTGGTCACTAACTTTGAATTTATTATTACTTGGTTGTGGCTAGAGCTGTTTTTAATGAAACGCATATAGTGACTAAGATTGGAGGGAGAGCTTCAAGATTTTTTCTGATTTTTATTCTGAAGATTTGTCAAATCCATTAGCTTTAGATGCAGAGTGTGGTCTTTAGGAGGTATACTGGACTACCACTAATTATCCCATTCCAAACGTCTGATACTATAAAGTCAATTTCATGTATAAAAACTTTTGTCAATATTTTTGTTTGTTTGCAGTTATTAGCAACTTCGCCTGTGACATCGTGTTCTTATGAATAATCTTTTTCAAATCTTCGCAGATTAAAAACCTGGTCAAGATCAACTATGTCTGGAGATTGTTTGGTTTAACATTGATGTATACACATAGAGATATAGTTCCAGATAATTAAGAAGTTATCAAAAAGTTAATGCAAAGAAATGGTTATGTTTCTATACAAATAAGTCAAAGTCTCTGTGACTAGGTTTATTTGTAAACATTTATACACATTTAATTGTTTAAAGACTGTTGACTTAAGCATATAAATCACTTAAAATCTCTGTGAATATGACTTCGTTTTGTCTTCTATAATCCCTATAATCTATAATCACAAGTTAAATCTTTTGTGAGAACTTAAAGTGATTCAGAGTTTGAATACATTTTAAATTGTTATAAATTATTTAGGATGTTTAAATATTCAAACATCTTTATAATCGTTGTAGTAAAATCAAATAATTTTGAATTATTTGAATGAATGCATTACACTTTTAGTGTCAATCTAATTGACACTAAAAGTGTATTGCATTCATTTGTATGTAGAATAAAAACATATATTTTATTTTCTAAAAATACATTTGGACATAAATATATTTTTTAACCTTAAAATCCAAAGTTAGTGAAAATAAAGATTAAAATATTTAAATATTTTAGTAGATAAAGAGTAATGGAAAACCTTTCTGGTTGAAACAGTTCAGTACAATATATTATTTATCCTAACTTTTATTTCATTAAATTAGCAGTTTACTTTCTGAGGGAATTTTTGTTTTAGACAAAATTGTTATATTGTTACAATTGTTATATTGTTATTATTAGTATTATTGTTCAAGGAACTCTCCTGGACAATATTACTAAATAACTTGCACATTTTTATTTTTTAGGAAAAGCAGTTTGCTAATTGATTGTGTATTTTTCTGTCATACACCTTCAATCGTTCTGCATAAAAAATCGTTCACATGAATAGGAAGGAGCCTTGACGTGGTTCATGTGCTTTAAACAAATACCTTCCAGACAGATACATTCTCACCCGTTGTACTGTGAGGGATAAATGGTCAGAAATTTGATTTCTTTAGATTTTTTTTTTGTCTGAATTTAGTTATTACTCAATAAATCAAACTTTTTAAAATGTATTAATAAAATCATAGTTAATCTACTATTTGTTTTCAACGGTTTGTATTCTTCGAATTGGCTAATAAAAATTAGCAAATCAATAAAATGGGCTGGTGCTAGTCATCGATAGAGATTGTGAAATAATTGGCTGATTAAGTCGATGCAGATAAATCTGAACATCACCAAGAATATTCAGATTAGTTTTGAATTTCCAAATTCCTTTTTTTATTTTTAGTTGACATTGAGTACATTGTAGGTATCAAGAATAGCTAGTATAGGTATAATTTTTATTAAATTTTGCATATGTTTCGTGTAAAAAATAATGACCAGAATCTAGTTTATATTTATAAAAAAAAATCCAAAACAATAGTTTGGGAGGGAGCGATTTTCTTAAGTTAATATTTGCTTGAATTTCAGACAATATTGTCTTAACCAGTTTAGCATTAAAACTTTTTTTTTTTTTTTGAAATTGCGTGCTTATTTTTATAAAAGGCTGCAAACACCAAGTCTTAATCACAAAAAAAAAATTTTTCAAATTGTGCAAATGGGGTGAATCCATAGCGGGAGCCCTCCCTTGTATCAAATAAAAACCTTTTGAAAATATAAATCCGAGTTAGTATGGAGTTCACAAATAGTAAATGGGGAAGGGAGGCTTATTTGGTATCTGAGAGTACCACTGTCTGGGATGGATTGTGTTATAGCAATCGTTGCTCAGTAGTTAGAGAATTGGATTCGTAATCTAAGGGTTGCGAGTTCGATCCCTACTCGAAGCACATAAATGTTATCGGTAAGGTTGGAAACGGAGTGCCAACTTATAAATGCTATTGTCTTTGCGGCGGTGCTCTGTGACAAGACCATTAGGACTTCTTAAAGCACCTTAATAACAAAACAAAAAAAAAAAAGGGGGGGGGGCGGTAATATTAAAAAAAATCGCCAAAGGAAAAATAAATCCTAGATCCGCCCCTGATTCTAATAAATAATTTAATCTTTATTACAGTAATTAAATATCTTGTTAAAAAGTAAAAATACTTTTTTTTACTATAAAAACATACTTTAGTGAGGTACACACTAACTTTAGGGGAGGGCGTATGTCGCACCGCCCCCTCCCTGCACCCCGACACAAAACAAAAAATAAAAATAATTTTATCTTTATTATAATAATTTAATGTATTGCTAAAAATTAAAAATTTTATTACTATTCAACATATATAATTGATGTACACATTGATTTTAGATGTAGGGAGTATGACGCACCACCTCCCCCCTCCCCTAACAAAAAACAACGTCATCTTTATTTCAATAATCAAATGTATTGTTAAAAAAGGAAAAATTAACCACTTATACAACATACATTAGTATTGAAAATATTGTTGTATTTCATAAACCAATATTTATATATTATTATTATAGTGTGTTCTAATAAAGAACATACATTAGTATTTTATAATATGAGGAAAGGGATGGTTTTCCCCCTTCCCCTCAACCAATGTAAAAAAGAAAACACATAGAAATGATATTTTCAACATTTTCACATGCAATTATTAAAAAAAAAAAGCTCAATACAGAATTGTTTTACCAGATTACAAGTTGCACGAGTATACATTTTCTCATTTAAATGCTCATATTTAACCCACCAACCTGAAAAAAAAAAAAAAAGTTTTGAAACATAGTATTGCTATTAAATAAATCATTTTTAACAATAGATACCACGTGAAGGTAAGCCAGAGCCAGATACCTATTTGCAAGCCACAAAACTTGCTGTACCTATTTGCAAGCCACAAAACTTGTGATACTAATTTGCAAGCCACAAAACTTGCGGTACATAATTGCAAGTCACAAAACTTGCTGTACCTATTTGCAAGCCACAAAACTTGCGGTACTTATTTGCAAGCCATAAAACTTGACTTATTTAATTATTATACTAATTATGTTAAAATATTAGTTATCATTATATATAAATTTTTTGTTAACTACTTTTTTTTGTTTTTATATATTTAATTTTTTTCTAATTAATACTTTAAATTATTGTAATTATTGTTTATTATTTTTTTACTTATAACTATTCAGATTATTTTAAAATAACTATTAAAAAAAAAAGAAGCTAGTTGATGTTGTTGTTATTATGTCATCGAAATTAGGAAAATACTAATTCACCTGATATAACATCAGCAGCTAGCTGTATTTTTTTCATCTTATGTTCCACAGCTTTAATATCAGTTTCATCTTGTTTCCAGTAAGAAATAGTGAAAATTCTGTCTTGTAGTCTCTTGTTTACCTTTTCAACTCTACCATCATAAATGACAGATTTAGCAAAGTCAGCATCATACCACTCGTGATCGAGTGTTCTGCCAACAATTCTTTCTGACATAACATCGTCTAAATCTTTGAGTTGCTTTGCAGATAAGTGTTTATATTTATGCATCATTTCACCGAGACTTAATATAGACAGCTCACGCTCTAGCTTTTTTTTTTGTTTTTCATCCATTTTCTGTCGCTTGAATGACAGTTTATTAGTAATTTCTGATCGAATTTCATGACATTTTAGTCGAGTTATAATTCTTTTTTTTTGTGCCATGTAAATAGACCACTTTACTACCTTTTCTCTAGATGACTCTTCAAGATTATCTAAATAATCTATAGTCCTATTCTTTTTAGATCTCAATTTGCTGGATATAAAACAAATTGTTGCATTAGGACATCTTCCTTTGGCATCGCTAAACACACCCATTAATTCTTCACTATCTATATTGTGAAGTCTTGCACTAGCTGTCTCCTCCTTGAGTGTCGCTGTAATAGATAGAGAGAAATATCTTTTATATTGTCGAACCAAGACACTCTCGACTGCAACAAGTTAAGCATATTGTAAAGTTTGCACATTAAAAAGTAAGAGTTGTTTGACTTACCAGGTGTAACACATGAGGTAGATACTAAAATTACAAAGTTGTAACAAAAAATCAATATTGCAACTAATGTGAAATCCATACACAACAAGTAATACATACATGAGTAATAAATACATATATTTATTTATAATTCTTAAAAAGGTTAATAAAAGTTGCTATAATATATAATGCTATAATAACTTACCAACTGTAGTCTGTGCAGATTGGACTAAAGATAAAAAAAAAAGTTGTATAATCAAAATAAAACATCTTAAAATAGTCAACAGTAAGTTGGCCATAAAAGTAACAGAAATCAAATCAGTTCTCCTTTACAACATGTTGACTAACAAAAAAAAAAGCAATAAAAAAAAAATAAATTATTATATCTCAAAATCTTTTTATTTTAGAAAAACACAAGATATTTATGTAATAATTCCTTTTTATTACAAAAATATCTTGTCAAAAATTGACTTAAGCCAATGAAGTATAACAAATGTCATTTGTATATATATGGTGTCTTAACAAATTCATCATCTGATAAGTGCTTAGTTAACAAAATATTATAAAGTAACGGTTTTAATCTTGAATCTTAATCTTTTTTAATACATACCATATAAACAAAGATTAAGGTTTTAAAATTTCTATATAATATAAATAAAAGTACATTTTATATGATTTTATATAAAACATGTAATAACAACAATGAAAACAACATTGAAAAATTGTTAAAAAAAAAAAGAATGAAACAACAATGAAAAATCTTAAAATAAAATTTTAAGCTTAATTTTTGTTTACATAATCTATGTAAACAAAGATTACGGTTTTAAAATTTTTCATTGTTGTTTTGTTTTAAATTATTATTATTATAAAAAAAAAATTAACTTACTTTTTTTATCCTTTTTTGGCATTGTTTTTAGCATTTTTTTAAGCTTATAATCTAATATGAAAATTTAAAATAATATAATGAAGTAATAATTCTTTGTTTACAATCCGCCCCTTCTTCCCTCCCGCGTACTTTGCTTACCAAAAAAACAACAGAAAAACCGAATTTAGGTACCAAAAGTCCTACACTTCTTGCTCCCAAATATTTTTTGCTGAAACTTGGCATGTGCAAAGAAAATGCATGTAAAAAAATGCTTAAATAACAAACTTGTGAGAACATCAACGAAATTTTCTTGAAAGTTTTCAGCAAAACTAACCATAAAAATTTTTAGTGATTATACATAAAAGTACTATAAAATCAAGTCTAATCTTTCTTCTTTCCAAATATAACTTTTGTTTATATATGTTTCTAAAAAGAGACACCACAAAAACGTTTGTCTAACCCTACCTAAAAAAAGCAGTATGTTTAATAAAGCACCTCGTAACATATCTGCTCACAATTATTTTTCGTTGAAATTTGGTACATAAATAGAAAATGCATGTAAAAAATTACCTGAATAAAAAAAAAAGCGGACACGACATGCCTTCGACTACAAATTCATGTGAGAACACCAACCAAATATTCAGGAGCAAAATAATCCGTTAAAAAGTTTAGTAAACATACATAAAAATTTTAAAAAAGTAAAGATTAGCTTCTCTTCTTTCCAAAAAGTATCTATGTGTATATATGTTTCTAAAAAGAAACTCCACCAAACTACGTTTATCCCACGCTGCCTAAAAAGAAGTGAAAAAAACGAGTCACAAATGTTTAGCACAATAATCGGTTCTGTAAATCACGATATGCGCGTACCTATATATATATATATATATATATATATATATATATATATATATATATATATATATATATATATATATATATATATATATATATATATATATAGTTATAGTTATATATATATATATATATATATATATATATATATATATATATATATATATATATATATATATATATATATATATATATATATATATATATATATATATAATTTTCAAATGAATAACAATTTAAAAAAAAAAATTTAACAACATCTTTCATCAATATCAATTGATATCATCAGATAAAAAAAACTATATATATATATATATATATATATATATATATATATATATATATATATATATATATATATATATATATATATATATATATATATATATATATATATATATATATAGTTATAGTTATATATATATAGTTATAGTTATATATATATATATATATATATATATATATATATATATATATATATATATATATATATATATATAATTTTAACAAATTTAACAACATCTTTCATCAATATCAATTGATATCATCAGATAAAAAAAAATTACAATTTCTATATATAAAGAATTTATTTGGCTGCATTAAAAATTTAATAGTTTTACAATAGTTCCATAATTATAAGATAAATAATTACCATGAAGAAACTCAATAACAAAAAAAGAGTCATGATTTGTTAAGTTTTTGCATTTTTGCATAAAAGTAAGATGTTTGTATTGTATTATATATGCACTTATTGCCGATTGCACGGCTTTGTCAATAAAAAAGCCTGCGTCACGAATCTGCTTGAGGCCATGGACTTTCTGACCTACAACGTTTCTCGCAAGCTTCCAGTAGATGTTCTTTTTCTTGACTTCGCCAAAGCCTTTGATAAAGTCCCTCACAGAAGATTACTTCAAAAACTTGTAACGTTCTTAACTGGATAAAAGCTTTCCTTTCAAATAGATCACAGCGTGTCATATTAGGTAATACATCATCCACCTGGGTAAAGGTTACCACTGGCGTTCCGCAAGGTTCAGTGCTAGGTCCTACGCTGTTCATAATATTTATTAATGAATGTGTACACATCAGTAGCGAAAACTTATGTAAAATGTATGCAGACGATACTAAAATCCTGAGTGTCGTCAAAACCACTGAAGACAAAGCTCGTCTGCAATCCAATATAGATAGTGTTGTTACCTGGACTTAAACCTGGTTAATGGAACTCAACATCAAAAAATGCAAAGTCATGCATTTCAGTAAGTACAATGTTTCCCCACACATTTATTTAATGAACGAGTACGACGCTAACGGTAGCGTCACTAGAACAGTAATCGAGTCTTCAACATCCGAAAAAGATCTAGGCGTTCAAATTTCCAACGACTTAAAATATGAGAGGCAAGCACAAATAACCGCTGCCAAGGCTAATAAAGTCCTCGGGACATTGAAAAACACGTTTATAAGCAGAGATACCAAAATATAGAAAAAACTTTACACCACTTATATACGCCCACATCTCGAGTTTGCAGTTACTGCCCGCATCTTGAAAAAGACATAAAAGTCATAGAACGTGTTCGTGTTGAGCATCGGGTTCAGCTGAACGTGTTCAGCATCGGGTTACCAAAGTACCGCACGAAATAAAGCGCTTCGATTACGAGACAAGATGCATCAAACTCGGTCTCACCTCTCTATTAAATAGACGTTTACGCGGCAACCTCATTCAAAAATATAAATTCGAAAACAGTATCGACTCAATTAGCTGGCATATAAATCCAACCAACATCCCACCTAGCTACGGTCATCGCAAGCGCTTTCATCGTGAAATGGACAACAACTACCTCGTTCGCTATAATTCCTTCAACAACCGCGTCGCTCACCCATGGAACGCATTATCTAACGTAGTAGTCAGTGCTACCAGTGTCGATCGCTTCAAAGCAAAATTCGATCAACTTTAATAATTACTACAGCGCATCATCTTCCGTGCAATTTCGCACGAGCTAGCACGGCTAACTGTTGATGGGCTTACGGAACACGCCCGCTCCGTGTAATTTAATTTTTAACTTAACTAAAAAATATATAATATATAGGGTTAACTGGGGTAAAGTGAATTACTCAGCGTAGTTAAGGAGAGATCCGAAGAAAAATATAGTTTCGTTTTCAAAAAAAACCGTTTTATTTTGTGTGCGTTTTGATTGGTTTATTTTTTTTTTAAATCACGAAGCTCGTTGTTTTATGTTGTTTACATATATTCAGTGATTTTATCATCTAAGAGTTTGAAGTTTTAGCTTAATACTATGAGGCAGAATTTATAGAAAAGCTGAAATGTTTCTGTTTAGTAATTTATTCAAACGACTATTAAAGAGATTATGAAAGTAAATTACTATGAGTGAAAACTAATGTGAAAACTTCGATTTTAACGTTTTTACTGTTTATGGAAAGATAAAATAAGAGGTTTTTAGTCATTTATTGAATATTTTTATGCTGTAAACAAGGATACATTTTACTTTCGACATTTTTGGAATTTAAATACTTAACACATTGTTTCAGCTGTTTTTACGACGCTGCCCTGTCACATTTTATGTAGTTTTGTTTTGCTTGATGCTTTGGTTATAAAAAGATTTATAAACAAAATAATAAATTATATAAGAAAAGCCTAAATTCTACTTTTTTTAAATGTAAAACAGTAATACTCGAAAATAAGCGGAAAACACAAAAAATTGAAGTTTAAAAATGTAAATTTTTGTTTTTAAGAAATGCATATCGTTTGGATCTCTCCTTGACTATGCTGAATAGGGGTGAACTATTTTTTATATTAAAAAATTATCACCTTTAAAAAACATTTTGTTTAATAAATTAGCATTATTTTTGCTTAATACAACATTTTAATATTTTTCAAAAAAAAAAAAAAATTTAAAATATAGCATTTGTTTTGATGTAAAACCCATTTTAGAAAACTAGTTTTGCAAAAGTTTTAAAATTACGTTATCAAAATTTGCGATAGGTGTTACAAATTTAAGTTTTGTTGATGTTAATGTGAATATCAGTTATATTATTTATATATATTTTGAAGATAATAATATTATCTTCAAAATGTATATAAATAATATAACTGATATTCGCATTAACAACAAAGCAGCATTATATTATAATGTTGCTTTACAAAAATCATAGTTTTTATCATGATATAAAACAGCTAAGTTTTTAGTTACAAATCAATTTAATTCACTTACCATTCGTTTTTCTGTTTAATTGGGGTAAAGTGAACTAGTGTTTTTGTAATGTTTTTTCATCAAATACTTTTGGTAGAACTGTATATACATTGTAATTACTTAAATATATAAATTGTAATTACTTAACTAAATTGTTTACTATTAAAATAAATATTTGCTGTAAAAGTTTTCTTGAAATTTTATTTCAGAAATATAATATATTGAAATAATGTCAAGAAACTGCATTAAAAAAAAAAATCTTGAAGTAAAACATATGCACCTAATTTGGTATCACATATTTAATTCTCCGTAGGTAAATCATCAAACAAATGTACCTAATTTGGCTAATTGCTTATTTTTGATGGTCATGTGTGTCATACTTCTTTAGAAACTGTTAAAAAAAAAAAAAGGAAAAAAAAATGGCTTTAGCGGATGCAAATAGCACACTATTTGCATCTGCAACAGCCACTTGAGAAGTCTTTTGCCAAGTTAAATATGCATGGCATGAAATTCTGCCTAATTGGTATACCAATTCAGGGCTGAAGGTGGTTGGGAAATCTGTTTTTCCATCTTTACTAAAAAAAACTTTATGATATCTCTTTTAAGCTAGCTCATTTTGTAAAACCAATTGCCAAAACAGAAATATTTTTCCTTGAT